AGTGTAATAAACACATTTTGAGTTGTAATATAGTAGCATACATAAAATTTTCTTTTTTTAACCGCTTGTTAGAATAATTATGATGACAAAACTTGAGAAGATAACGTCTATTGATAAGAAACTCACAGCTCACAGGTCTAAAAAGCTAAGATACTTCAGAGTTCTGTATTACCACCTCAAATTTCACGTTTTCTCATAAGTCTACTCAAACCAATGCAACAGTCTTCCTATTAATAGTAGCTCGATCATTCACATAAGCAAAGGTATGTCAAGTCATGGAGATCACAAGCAGGTCTCAACATTACACACAAAAACTTAAAATGCAAACGTAAACTTACCAACGGGCCGGCCTCCGTCCCATTTTGACTGCTCTGGTAGGTGTATAAGAGAAAATGATGCAAGATTACTTTACGATTTATAAGGTTACAACCATGATTTTGCTAAGTCACAATGACTCGGATTTTGAAGTCCAAATAGGACACAAGCCATTGAATAGCACCGCGAATAAAAATGAGTTCGGTCACTTCAAAAATAAATTTGAAGTATCACTGTTAAGAAGAGATAATTACATCCTAAGACAACGACAAAGTAAAATATTACAGATTTCAGTTTCGTTGTAGACGAACGACATGAGCAAGCAAAACAAGGGATTACTGGCTTTTAATGTGACACTTTTTTAAAATGAGAAGATAAGAGGAGGGATTGATAGTTAAACTTGGTTTACGATCAATTTTGATTAAACGAAAGCTAAAGATGCTCTTTGATGCCACAAGATGTTTTCAACAAATTTTCAGCGAAATGAATCTCACTCACCAAAACGATGGAAAAGGATGAAGTAGAGTGCGATGTCCCGTATGTTGAGAAGGGTGATCCCGCTGATACAAGGCTGTGTATGTGGGCTCATTTTTTGCTACTCCTTTCCAGGTTTTCGGGTAACCTCATCCTCAAATGCAAAGTGATACCGTATTTATTCGATTAAACGCCGATTTACCATACAATTGTTTACAAGAAATAAACTGGATTTTAATTAAACGCCGCCATCGAAATAACGCCGCACTAGAATCACAAAAAATATAATAAACGCCACGGCGTTTAATCGAATGAATACGGTAACTTGCAAAGGAACTGTGATGCTGCATCGATCGGAGCAGTAATTAGTTCATTTGGTTTTATCACCTGAGTCGATAATGTAAATTGGCCACCGTAAAGAGTTTCTTGAGCTGACGTTTCAGGCGTTAGGCCTTCGTCAGAGCGAATAAGAACCATTCACTCTGACGAAAAGCTGACGCTCGAAACATTAGTTTTAGATTAATTCACATTGTAACCTCATCCTCCATGAGATATTTCGTCAAAACCACTAACTAAACCATGGGAAAGATTGGGAAGAATTGTGAAAAGTCTACCAACAAAAGTGAGGGCACAGTGATGCAGTGAGGAATTATTGCCGAGAAACAATAACCTGTGAAAGAGATGTAGTGTTTGCAAGGTTCAAAGGACTGTTCTTCAACCATGATTTACAGCAAGAAGATTGTTCAAGCAGGGACTTGTTCAACGAATACTTCATCTTTAATTTATGTGTATATATATATTTATGTACAGTTCAAAATGACTAAAATGAAACACGCATGATTCCAGCACTTTGCAACAGCATTTGCTACAATTTCCTACAATTATATATTTATGTATAATTCAATCATTTAGCAGCCTTCCTTATAACAACGAGAATTTACATCGGCGGTTTTTTTTTTTAAATTTACAGTCGAACCTGCATTAAGCGTGAAACTCTTTACGGTGGCCAATTTACGCTATCAGCGGAGCTGATGTTAAAAAATACCCTGTAGTAAGCGGTACAGGTTTCACAGACCAGGAGTATTAAAAAAACCGATAAAAAAACATCATGTTTAGCCATAATTGGCTACTTAATTTTCAAAACCTCGCCAAAAGTTTTATTTGAGAGACGCCGCTATTTTGAAAACTCTGCAACCCGACTACACACGCGTTTGGCTACAGAACTCAGTCAATCCAAATGATGAAACCCGCAAGTCAGATTTATTGTGACACGTTTCAGCAGTAGATAGGCAATTTTTAGTGAATTCGTTGGAAAATGGAGACAGGACACAATTTTCACTCCAACGGAAGGGACCGAAAGAAGCAACATGACCTTGAGACCGTAGTTATGATAATAGTCACTTCTTAATTGGCACCAAAGTAATGAATATCATAATTTCATAGCAAGCGCACTTGACGCCCATTAAAGAAAGAGAAGGCCTCAGTTCTAAAGGCCGACAGCATCCAAGATGGCGGAGGAAGATGATAACTGTTCGTTCAGTTGTGATGGATTATTTTGTGAAGTCTTTACTTCATTCGCTGCCGCAACTCTTATTTCACTAGTTTAGAATCATTCCTCGACCCTTTGTAAGCTGTAGTCTCGTTTTCGTCTAATTGTTCATAAAAAAACCGAAAACGAAATCCGAGCTTCTAAGTGAAGGGAGAGAATTCACCCTTTGGCATGCGTTCGAATTTTTGTGCTGTTGGTGTTAAAAACTTGATGAACTAATCAGAAATTTCCTTGAACTTGAATAGCCATTGATTTTGGCATAAAGCGTGTTTCACCTCAAAGTGCAAGAATATGATTCACGGTTTCTGTGATTTTGTTGTCACAATCGTTGTTTGTGCTGATTGTATTACTGTACACGAGCTGTTACTAAAACATGGAAATCTTTTTGTCATTCTTGTGAAGGAGAAATGAAAGAAATCTTGTTGGAGGTACAGCAACTTTTAGAGAGGTTGTAAGACTGAAGTGACCCACCAAAGAGACAAAATTGGGCAGAAAGGCAAACACTCTTGACTGAAAGCTGGGAAGAGCCACGGTCAAAGATTTTTAAAGAATTACTGGAAGCCATTTTTGCTGTTCCTGAAAATTTCATGTGTAGAAGACGCTTAGGTAAAGCTGCAGTTGTCAGATGTGTCCCACTACGGTTTCCCCCATGCACGCAGATAAAAGAACTTGAGCAAAAATCCTTTTCTCTTGAGCTAAGAGCGAAAGTAAGACAACTTATAATCGCAAAGACATTCCATGTGAACATAGCCCATACCTATGCTACCCCACAAAAAATAATCTGAATGGTGCCAGTTAAAGCACGTGGATTGCGTTCGAATCATACGACTCTCACCAAACAGTTTGGTGATACTCCCTGTATATCTTAATTAAAGGTAATCTCTTTGGCTCACAAAGCTTTGTTGCACCAGTCCAATGTTACAACTACTTCTCCCCTCCACCGTGTCCCTTATATTCTTTGATTCACTGACTCGAAAAGAGACAAGACAAAAGTTAAATTAGCCCACTGATCTTGAATAATTAACTCATGCCACCGAGCCGGCTGCTCCTGGAATATAGATCTTTACGTGCGCATGCCGTGAAGTTATGATATTCATTACTTTGGTGCCAGTTAGGAAGTGATAATTATCATAACTTTGGTCTGGAGATCATGTTGGAAGAAAGCTAGTGATTAAAATCTGTAGAAGTTATAGGTAGTTAATCGAGAGAGCCTGGGAACGATGAAGAAGCGCGCGCTAAACACTTGTCTACTGTGACGTATATATAATTTTATTACTCATTTGAGTCGAGTTATCTAACTTGGGTTTACATCCCACATGTGTATGGTATAAAAAAGCGAACTCCCTCATAGAAAACCAAAGAGGTGAAGACTGAAAATTGAAGGTATGTCCAGATTCTAAATTCTAAGTTAACAAAGAAGGAAAAATCTTTACTCTGACAGTATGTAATAGTAAGGACCTTCGTTGAATACCTTTTGTAAATATTCAGTTATCAAGCTGCAAGTCACATACAAAAAAAGCGAGGTACAGGATATCTTAGAGGACAAGAAAGGGAAAATACTAGAACGTACGGGAGAGATGGAAGAGAAAATTTTGTCTCAAAATGTATTACAGCCTTTGATTTCGGAAGCAACGATCATTCAAGTTCAGTTGAACACTCAGCTGAGCTGAAGAAAAATAATTATCATTCCCCTTGAAACACTTAACTGTAAATCATTCAACGATCTATAGGCTTGGTTAGAAACTTTAGTAGAGAACACGAACATAAAATGGAAACCTAAACAGTACATGGTTTGAACCCGGGGGTTGCATTTAATCTTTAAGTCTGATCGAACGGGTGAGCGTCCTCAGTGGCGACTGACGTTTCGACAACCTGAGCTATAGTCGTCATCAGACTATGATCAGAGTCAAGTGGAATACTTAAAAGGAGAGGGACTACATGTTTACCATCATACATTCCAGCGAATCCACTTCACAAACAATCTGCATATGGAATTGTGATAAACATCAGACATTAAAAAGGGTCATAGGGGAATGTTTTCATTTTACGGTTACTCGTGAATCCGAATTTTCAAACAGAGAAATCTGTATCAAGCAGACGCGCTCTGAAGGTGGCAAGAGACTCCAAAACGCCTACTGAATATATTGGCAAAGGACCCAAAAACCAACTTTCCTCTTCACAGTTAAACTAATTTCACCCATGAATTGACCAAAGGGTTGAACTTTAAAATAATGGGTATGGCATAACAATCGCTATTATCATGCTAATGTTATGGGGAAATCTCGTTAAACAGGTTCCTTAATAAATTTTCCCATGACTTCAGAGTTTTCTTTTTTGAGATAAGGCTTCTTTGAAGTTTAATCAACTGAGAACTTAACGGCATCATAGTTATGAAATGGCTATATTTAATTTGTTAAAATTCTGAAGATTTGGGAAAATCTATTGCGAAATTTCCAAGACCAAGGTTGTTTATTAAGAAAGGCCATAGGTCGAGTCGTCAAATCACACACTTAAGGCCAATTCTCTTTAGATCAATTGTTCCCCAGGAATTAAAACTCGACCATTGCAGGGCAGTTTTTTAAAATCTTCACTCAACGGAAACCATGTTGTTAGCTGACAGTAAGTGACAGTCTTGATTTCATAGTACAGCACCATAAACTGCTTATCAAGCATCAAGATTTATTTACATATGACAATTTACAATGGTGCATTGACAAATAAATGCTTTATGTGTATTTCTAACTTAGAGGGAACAATCTAGTCTGCATGGGCCAGGCCAGTTCTGTTGAAGAAAAAAATTAAACCAGATGTTATGTAAAAAGTAATGTGATTTAGAGTAGTTTTACCAACAGCGGAGTCGGAGCTGTAGAGGAAGTCGTAAGGGCGCTTCCTACCAAGTGAAAACATAAAATCAGAACAGTTTAAAAGCGGGGCCATAAGCTAGACGGCATAGGAGTCAGAAGAATCAGAGCGGTCCTATCTTCTTCCTATGACTCCGATCTAGTGAAACTAAATTTTCAGATTTGCAAGCAGAAGCAGTAAAACCCAACCTGTCAAAGAACAATCGAGAGTAAGTTCTACAGAAACAGTGGTCGTACGTCGGTGAGGCTAAGGCTATTACAAGTTAAATTGGTTTCATCAAATGAGTCGATAATGTAAATTAGCCACCGTACAGAGTTTCTAAAGCTAACGTTTCAAGCGTGAGCCCTTCGTCAACCAGTTGACGAGCTCTCACTCCATTCGATGGATACGACTTTTAGGGCCTGTTTACATGGAGGTGGGGGACCCCAGGTAGGTGAGGTAACCCACCTAGCCGTGGTCGAAAAACGCGTTTACATGCAATCTTACAACCCCGGGGCACTAGGGTGAGGTTTCTTGAGGTGGTTGTTGCACTTGCAATTAAGGAGTTTGAGCGGAGGCGTCCCAAGCTCACATCTCGAAAAAGACGAAAGATTAATTCTCGAACACATATGTATTTATTCATGAAAGCGTCACGGGTCGTGTTTCGCGAGGAACCGTTGACTTAATGCGTTATACGGAATAGTTTGGGAAATCAAATATGATTGATTTATAACGCTAAATATTCCGAAATGTGAACATTTTACACTCCTTGTGTGTTCGTTGCGGTTTCTGGTGATTTCTGCCATGAGACGGCTAGGAAATGTGCAAAGTTTTAAAACATACATATTTCGCTTTTGAGCTTTTTGCTATGAACGCGACCCCGGCTAGGTGGGTTACCCCACCTTGACACATTTACATGGCAAATTGTCACCCCGGCTGACAGGGTTACCCTACCTAGCAGACCGAGCAACCCGCCTAAGCGGGTCACCCCACCTATCATGTAAACTTGATCAAAATAAAGTAAGAAACTATATGGACAGGCGGGTTACCCCACCTAGGCAGGTTACCTCACCTACCTGGGCTCCCCCACCTCCAGGTAAACAGGCCCTTAATGATAAAGTTTCATACATCACAAGCGATGGAGTCTGACAAGCGACAGTGGTACTCTACAACTGATTCCGCAGCTTTGATTTTCTAGTAATTGTGTCGCTCTTTCACGTTTCCAGTATAACGACTCCGACGTTACTGAGAATCAGCCACAACGTATAACAAACAACCAAGAAACAAAGTTTCGAGGGCAACTCTGACATTCTAGGGCAATTTTCAAGATATGGGCATGTCCCCACAATACACAACTACGAGAGAACGAGTTCAACCATTTCATAAGCCTCATTTTTTTTGTCCAACTAGCAGCTGAAATCACAGATCTCCGACGAAAGTCCAATTTGGTAGCCTGTTCCAGGTGTTCGGTTTGTAAAACGAAGCGTAATAGTAAATGAAGCGATAGTAGTGGCTGGGTGTAAAATTGAGGGAGGTTTGACATGACCCGAACCACCTTTCTTCACTTAGCCGCTGAACGCCCGGAACAGGCCGTTCAATTGGTTGATCCCATCTCAAGCGGATGAGGAGCATTAACCCAAAGACTTCATTACATGGGCGCATACATCTCAGGCAACTAAATTTTTTCATTTCGTTTGTTAGTTTCAAACAAGATAAACGTAATAACTCAGCTCATGTTGCCTTACCACTCTCCAATGTGATGTCAACTGGTGTTGTATATCTTTTCAGGTACTGTGAAGGTGTGTTGAGGTCTTGTGAGCCCAAAGTGTACTCAATCAGATCTGACAAAGGAAGCACGTCCTTAAGAAAATAATACTAAAACCACTGATATGTTCCCAGAAATCTTCTGTTTTCTGTGTGTTCTTGCCTTACATAAGAGAGACTACTTTACAAAAAAAGTTTGTTGCAAGTTATAAGTAAGTCTCTTGCTAACTTCTTTCAAAATAGAACGAGATGTGACAGACTATTCATGGGCTGCAAACTGATGATCGTCAGGTATCAGGGATGACATTTAGGAACCCTATGTCCAAGTTTTATAGCTCAAAACTTACAGACACCCACATTTGGCACCCGTTTAATTACCTTGTCTTACTAACAGGTCTGGTACTTTTTCAGGTAACTGGTCCATGGTATTAGTTAAGCTGATCTACAAGTGAAACAACAAGTGATGACTCAGCTGACAGTCAACAAAAACCACTGGAAATAATTTACTGTATAGTAAGTTATAAAGTGAACTAAGATAAACTTGAAAAGTGCACAGTTAAAACGGGTGTCAGTAGCTTGCACAAACAAATGAATGAAATAATACAATTCAGAAACATCCTTGTAGTCTATGGGAAGGATGTCAACATCCAACCACTATCATGTCAGATGTCAGAATGTGCCAACATGACTGCAAACAACACTTTTAAACAAGTTTCTCTCCTATCAGGTCCATAAAGTCTGCATGGGTACATATTTTTTGGACAAATTTACACACAAGCCTTATTCACTGTACATTTTCTTAAAAAATTTGCCAACTGATTGTTATTTTTGGTTGATATTCCTTAGATCTTCATGATTGAAAAATTCTTTCTCCTAAAAATTCATCTACTCTCATACAATCCTGCATAATGCATATCAAGTGGGTGCAAAGGGAACAGAAAAATTATCATGTTCATCTGTGTTCAATATAACTTTCTATCCCTGGTGCTCATTCCCTTTCCCCTATCCTGTGCCTTAAACAATAAAAAACTCTAGTCTGCATTATAAGCTGTATATCATGGATTGTTTTGGTACAAATGAATCTAGTCAATCAGTGAAAGAAGTCACTGCTGTAAATGAATCATCCCTTTTCCCCACACCATAATAAGGTACTTAAACAAAAACCAAAATTTAAATTTTGAAATGGGAGGAGGCTTGCAGAAAAATAAAGCCAGACTGTCCTATCAATATGTGGCAGAATAGAACTCCAAAGGTCTTTTTGCACTTTAGTCATGCACTTTCTTTCTTCTAGTACAGGGGTCATGGAGTGTGCAGATCACAGATCATAGGTTCTGACTTCTTTTAGGGGATTCAAAATTCAGTGGACATATTCCTTGAGAAGTATATGGTAGCATTGATAGTAATTTCCTTTCTTTCTGCATGTAGCTTCTAGAAGGACTATTGATGATGCTCTATATTAAATATTCCAACCTTTGGTAGTTTAGCCAAATATTCTGCTAGCTTAATGATAAGTGTTAATGCCTCTGTGACCTGAAAAGATGAAAAGGTTAAAAGGCAAATGAGACCTACGCTGCTGTAATTTGTGTCATAAATAACTTCACAGGTATCTTCATTAATCTGACTGCAGGTACTTCTCATTGATGGATACCTATGAATTGGTACTTTTTGTCCTGTGCATTTATGAACACCCATCATTGAGTACCATCTGCCTAAAGGTAACTTCCAATTCTACAGGTACCTTCTATAAATGATGAATTACTAAATATGTTGAATATTTCTGCCCATCAATGGTTACCCACTGTATAAATCAGGACTCGTTGCTTGATAAACAGTAAACTCAATGGAACTTTAATCTGGAACAAAGCAATGCTACACGGCCATATTGTCAAACGGACAACAACAACTTGAGCACATGGTCGAACTAAATGTTGATTGGCTGATCCAGACACTTAACATATTGTCACACCCGCATCCACTGATGATTATCTCTAGATGTACAATTGTCACACAATATCATACTGCTGATAAGGGAGAACCTTTTATAGATACATGGACAGATAACTTCCATAAGTTGAAGTTAACACTTGGCATGAAGTCAGCTTACTACCAGCCAGGTATTTTTAATGAAAATGATTTCTATAACTAACCACAATGTCGATAGGTTCATTAGTGGTGAATTCCTGCATCCTTGACACAGCAAGATTGAGAGTTCTAAAACTCCATTGTCCAAAGAGACGATTGTTGAGCTTTGATGGGTTAAGGTTACTTTACCTAACTGCCCACCATGTAAGAACCTCCATTTCTTATTTACTGTTTGTATAAGTACTGAGTTCTCACACAGTTTTACATTTACAAATTAACACCCCATATTTATCATTTGCCGAAATCTTTCAACCCTTTTTATGACAGTTAGCCATAGACTTGATAACCACACAGCTCTAAATTGCCTTTCATGATAATTTTGCAGCTGTTAAGAATGGCTGAAATAATTTGAGTTCCTGCAAGAAGAACCCTACATGATAGTGACCATAAAAATTAATTTCAGTGACCTTCAAATTTTAGTGAAAAGTCAGGAAGTGACTAATTGCCACTTTTTATTTTTATTCTTACAAATTGTCTACTATGTAGCAACCTTTTGATTGAGACATTTCTCTCTCTGTTATTTCTAAGTAAAAACAAAAAAACTAACCAATATTCAAAATAAAATTTGCCAAAAGTTTTCAAACTGAATGCTGTCTAATTCTGTAATTGTATGATGTAAAAGGATACATCACCAGTACACACAAGTAGTTTTGTATTCAACAGCATACCACTGCAAATAACCCAATAACATGATTTTCACTAAATGAATAGTCTATTGGACAGTTGGTTGCTTGGTTGCCCAGCCTTTCAACAGGAGTGAGGCTAACGGTGACCTTGTTATAATACAAATGTTCCTGCTTTTCAAATGTAAATTTTTTTTATCATACAAACAAGATACTGGTCTCTATCACAACAAGGTCGCCTTCAGCCTCACTCAAAGGCTTGGTAACTAAGTACACAACTGTAAAATTGCCTACTGGAAACTGAAAAAGAAGGACTTCTGTCCTTTCCTTGCACACATGCAACTGCAGAAATTTTCTCAGTCACTTCTCTTTCAAAATCTGTCTGTAAGCAAATGTTTTCACCAGTTTAATATGTTAATTTACAGATAGTATATTTTGTTTTGTAGTTAATGATCTATTTTGTGACTCAAGTGATAATGCAGAGGTCAGGTTTTTTTCAACTGTACCTGGCACTTTGTTCATCCTCCTCTAACTCTTTGATAACCTTCAGGAGCATGTTATAGGAAGTCTGCAAAATCAATTTTTTTTCCTTGTTTCAATTTTTCAAACCAGTTTGAGGTACCAGTAACTAGAACTATATGAAATAAAAATAATTATTTATTAACATAGAATACATACCAAACACTTAACAAGTCATTGCACCCAAAAGACAGAGGTGTTTAAGAGAGCAATGTCATAATACCAGTGAGCCCCTTTGCCACATTGATTTTCATTCAACTGACTTAACATTATTAACATATCCATTTTCAGGGCTAAATTTATATAGAAACACCCCTTTGGACTCTAGTTCATTCCAAAGTAAAAATAAAGGAGAAACTTTATCCATCATACATGCAAATATAACATTTAGTGTATCAATTTTTTATCTATATAAGTTGAAATACAACATTATCTCCTTTGAATTCAAGGAATTTGAGACACGCTCTCACCTCTACAACATGAATGATATGAACAGGATATATCAAAAGCAGTCCTGTCACTGCCTCTCCATGCACTTGTGTTTGAAGTTCCTTAAAAACTCTTTCATAGTGAGCTTAAAATGATAAGAGAATAAAATAAAGATTTCAAGGCGAGGAGGTTACAAATAAGGCATGAAGAAGTTATATCAAATAGCATTTTTTTCCCATTAGGGTTCCATCATTTGATTGACAACTGTTTGCCTTATCACAACACAAAGCATGTCTATGCATCATACAAAGTTGTAACCAATTCAATGTAAAACATAAAAGTATCAGAGATATTCATTCATTAAAATAATTAGCAATCATCAATATCCTGAACTGTAAGTTAAGAGAGTGTGTACATTTTTTACTATTCTTGAAAATTTGCTTCTTTTAAACTGTTTTGTTCTTTTTTCCTTTGTTCTCTATTAATATGATTATTTTTGATGCAAACTAGAAAATGAAACAAAAACATCTAAGAAGAAATAAACTATTGTCAAATGAGTGATTTTCTTCCTTTTTTTTTTTTTTTTTAAAGAAAAAGGCTTTGAATTTTATTATCCGTTTAAATAGTCATCCAATGCTCTTTCTGCTTGATTGCCATAAATCAATTAAAAGAAGGACTGTAAACATTCAGTTGACAAACATCAACTAGCTAATTCCATGCGAGTCAAGCTTAAGCGAGAAAACTAATTAATATTTCTTGCTTAAGTGGGGCTTTAAATTTTGTTGCTTTGGTGTGGCAAACTTTCCAATAAGACCTGATTAGTTTGTTGTTAATTAACAATGATAAGATAGGTAAACTAAAATATTACTTTAAAACTAAATAACCACCTCCAATTTCTTTCCTGTCACTAACATCCTGGCGGATTTTAGACACATAAACTAGTCGGTGAACAAGTTGTTTCTAAAAATAAATTTGGGAAATAAGTTAGCTCGCTTTTCCTATTACCTGCATGAATTGGAAGGAAAATATTACATTGAGGGTTCAAATCGATCTAAAATGAACAAATTGTTTGCCTCAGAATTCCAAGAGAAAAATTAACATCGTATACATTTTAAGCTATTTACCTTGTTTTGAGCCCTTGTTCGCTCTAGAATGAGATCAAATAAAGATAGCCTTCCTGCATCGAACACCGAATCTTCGTCACCTCCAGGACTTGCCGCCATCTTTATTTCACTTTTTTCATCCTGTTTCCATAGGGACCATGTAAACAAATACTCCTTAAGTATTCCAGCGGTGTCCCAGAAAGCATGCGCGACTGGGTCAATCAAGAAAAATAGAAGTTACGAATACAAAAATGTCGTATAGAGACTTGAGAAGTAAGTGAAAATCGGTAGTATTTATTGTTTTTTGAAAGTTTTGAGGTTATACTTCTCACCTGCATTTAAAATTTTGCCTGTTCTGGTATGATCTAAATGAAAATAATGGTTGTGTTTTCGCAGATTTCACTGAAATGATGCGTGCCTTGGGTTACCCTCGGCTGATATCCATGGAGAACTTTCGTTCTCCAAACTTTGCTTTGGTTGCTGAAGTCTTGATGTGGCTTGTCAAGAGGTCAAGTAACTATTTTTTTAATTACCCTACAAAAAACAGCAACACAAGCGAAAATAAATTGAAAATAAATTGAACCTGTAAGATTTCAGGTTTATAGGTGATTATAATTAATTCAACGCCACTTAATCGGACAAAGATGAAACGTGAAGGTTTAACTGTTGAATTTTGGCAACATTTCTGCCGAGATCCTTACTTAATTAGTCTTTGGATAACGAAAATACTGGCGAAAACAGTAGATTGCCTTCGGCACTACAACTTTGTTTTGGGGTCGTATGGAAATCTTTCCCCAACTGAGTTTTTATAGATTTCTACATGAAATAAACGAAGAAGCTCTTAGATTTGTTACCTTTCAAGAGTGTAGTACATATAGCCCTAAATATTTGCTCTAAAAGATAAATACTTTTTGTTTATTATGATTGTTATGTGTAATAGTGTGGTTTGATTGTCCAGTAAGTGTAGTCATGAGAAGGACTGTTTTCGGTAGTGGTGACTAACGTTTCGACAACCTGACTGGAAGTCATCATCAGAGTCAAGGAAATAGTTGCTGTCAGTTAAATGTGCTTAGTCCAGTTTGCATAAATTGATTGGTCAGTTTTGCTGTGATGTTATTGGTTGTAAGACTCAAGTAGCATAGATTGGTAGTAATTGGTTGGTCTCAATCCGTTAGTGAAGTTAGGTCTTTCTGTTTGGTTTGTTTGTAATGTTAATGTTGTGAATGAGTCCTTTGTATGGTGCCTGTAGTGGACCACTGCCTGCACCATACAAACGACTGCTGGCAGTGGTCTACTGCCGGCAGTCGGGAATGGGGGAGTGAATATTAAGTTACTCATCTAGTGCCAAAGAATGTCACATAGAGTAATGATATGATTATGGGCTAAAAATTTATCTGGCATGTTATATATAGGTATGACCCCAATGTGGAATTACCCATGGATGTTGATACTGAACAGGACAGAGTGCTGTTCATTAAATCAGTGGCTCAATTTATGGTATGTTTGATATCATCAGTCTCCAGAAAGTTTTATAAATTTTTATGCCAATCAGTTTTATGAAGTACTGTGAGAGTGGTAGAGGGGTCTATATGTGATGCATGAATTTTACAGAAATCCAAGGTAAGGTGAGATTTTAAGAGTTCCCTTTTGGCTTAATGATAAGCAAAATATAGTTTAAAGCACATGTGATGTGTGAATTTTTCTAAAATTGCTATGAGAATTAGGATCAGGACTCCTCCTTTTCTGCCCTCTACTGTGTATACCATGTAATTATTACTCTGTTTGTTGACTAAGAAGAATCTAAAACTAGTGCTGAAGTGCAGACATGATAAATACTCTTAACACTGTACTCTTTATCATAACTGTTATAATCATAATAATCATTACTAATAAAATTGAAGATAGAAATAAGAAAGATAGTGTATGAACCCCTCAAGAAATGGGGAATTTCACTTAAAATGATAAACACCTCTGAGATGTTAAGATTGATTTTGAAGTTTCCCAAGAATTAACAGAGGTGAGGTGCTAACCTTTTCAAGCACTGCTCACAATAGGGTACTTAAGTAATATCAATGAGTTGATCAAGTAAACAAGCCATCTTAAAGAATTTAAAAGCAGATGTTTCAAGTGTCAGCCCTTCCTCAGAGCCATTTGCTCTGATAAAGGCTTACACTCAAAACTTCAGTTTTTTTAAAACTCTTTATGGTGACTAATTTACGTTATCAACTTGTTGATAATGCTAAGTTACCCTGTTATATTTTCCCACCAATGCAGCACCACAGTTTCTTTAGAAATTTACCCCCTTTATCCACTGCTCACAATAGTCACCTGATCTCTTTCTCATACAATATTAGGCAACCAAAGCCCATATTAAGCTCAACACCAAGAAGCTATATGGTGCAGATGGATATGCTGTGAAGGAATTACTCAAAGTTACATCTGTCCTGTACAGTGCAATGAAGACTAATGCTGGAAATGAGGTAGCCTTAAAAGTTATTTACTTAACTCTATTTTATGTTTTTGCTTCAAATAAATCCAGGTTTAATGAGGTTAGTGAGGTTTGAGCATTGTTGAAATGTGCCTATGTTTGTTCCCATTTCAGATTCCCACTTTTCTTTCAGGAGTAAACAGGGACAATGCCATCTTTAAGTTAATACAGTGTAAACATGTAGCCTTTTCCTAGTAGAAAATAATAGTTGAAGATGTTATAAAAAAAACTATAACATTTTGTTTCTTGTTTTTAGGCTGCTGAAGAGTCCAATGTCAATTCCTTGACATTTGATATATCATCAAGAGTAAGTGACCAGAGTTTGGAGTTTAACAGACTCAAGTGTTAAAGATGAAAAGTATTTTGGGCAGGAAAATTGCTATCTGTTGGAATGATGGCACAATACATTTTTTTTAACTCCTTAACACAAAGCTTCCATGTTCCTGCAGGTCTGTTCAGTGCTAGATCACAGATGATGATAAAATTTAGTTAAAATCAGAAAAGTAGCACTCAAGATGCAGCCAAGTGTCTCACTGATGTTCTTACCATATTTGATGTCATCAAGTTGTGATTTATTATTGTACAGAACCATGGCATTGTGGAATCTATTTGTTTTATATAATAATGGAGCAAAAAATTGTTAAAATGGTAATGTCATCAATGAGTGTGTTTTCCAGTAGATCATGCGTAAGAACCTGTCAAATGTGTGCATAATTCAGCTCATCAAGACATACAATTCCAATGGATATCATTAATTTATTCAATGGATGATTTTCATCAACCTATCATTTAAACAACCATAGCAACTTTTAAATTGGAAACTTATGTGTTATGTTGACGAATGATGGGCATTAGATTAAATAGTGTTCAAGGCCAACTATATTTTGTCTCATTGATTATGCAATACATGGGTAGGCTTGAGAACCATTCATGTTTCTTTTCAGATAACTGATTTAAAGGCATCTCGCCAGCTTGCATCTGAGATAACATCAAGGGGAGCTGCACTTTATGATTTGCTTGGTAAAGAAGTGGAATTAAGGGTAAGTCAGTAATTATTTTTATGGTGTATCTGACCATTAAGTTTAGTTTTGAGGGTGAAATCAGAATGCAACTTGATCTGCGAGTCCCTCAGGTATATCTTCAGAATTTACTCTTGCAAGGGCATCTTCAACGGTGAAAATGTGAATTTTTTAGGATCAGAGATAGGATGTTGATTCAGATCTTTTAAGGATTTTAAGGGTCTTCCCAGTTTAACTTTCAAGAACTCTCAAAAATTTTACAGATCACTAAATGAATGTGTGATCTGGCAAAGTCTTTTAATATCATTCAATGTCCTATTAGCTTCATTTCTCCATCATGATAACTTCAATTCCTTGGCTTACGTGGCTTTGTTTAAATATCAGGAACTAAGAACAAATGCTATAGCCAAGCCTCTTGAATTAAATGAGCTGGAAAGCGGTATCAAGAAGAGTGTTGCTGCAGTCAAGGTACTGATGAATCAGAGATCATGTAGGGTACTTTTTTCTATTTTTTAGCCTTCCAAGACATTGTTTCACTAAGTATAACTCCTGCCTAACTGAGAATTTCTCCCAGTGTGGTGGTATGTTTTATAAGTTAAGGAAAATTTTGAAATATTTTCAAGCTTATAGGAGGTGCACCTGTTTGTATGTTCTCCCATTGTTAGGAATGATGATAATGAAAACAAAAATAAGCATATGAGTTGTTTTGTACTTTGCTATTTCAATTGAATTTTGCTCTATTTGAGAAAGTATATTTGAGTAAATTTATTGGAAAAACTGAAGGCTTATTTTTTGGAAGAGTGGATCATGCAAGGAGAGTGGAGGTATGCTTTGGGGGGGGGGGGGAGAGGAGGGAGTGATCTTAGCCATCCACAGAGTGCTTTCTGGAGCCCATTCATGCAACCAGTAACTTTATTTATAACATTTTAATGTTCAACTACTGGGGAATCATTACAGGAGAATACTAAGTTCCCCCCTCGACTAATAAGTGCCCTCCTTCTAATAAGCACCCCTCCCAATTTTTAGCTGAAATTTTAAGTAAGCATTTGGTTGCTTATTGGAGGAAATATGGTACATTCCAAATCCCTTCCATTCTTATTGAAGGATGACATAAAGAAGACCAATCAAATGTTGGACAATATTGCTTCTGATGAAGCTAATCTGGAAGCTAAAATAGACAAGAAAAAACAAGAACTGGAGAGGAACCAGAAAAGACTGCGAAGTTTAGAAACTGTCAGGTACAGTTGTTCCCTCTTTAAAATTCAAGAATTGGGCAGTCCATGTGAGGATTAGATTATTAGATGATAAAAGCTGTATGCTGTTTTGTTTGCTGTCTTTAATTTTTATGTTTGAACCTCTTATGTTTGGGTACAATATTATTCTGGCTTTAAATTCTCTTGTCCTTAATTTAATATGTGGATGTGGTATTGTAAATTGTCTGATAATGTGCTTAAACCAAAAATCTGAAAGAAAATTTTAAAGAACTTGGATGAAATCAAACCATGACAAATACTCAAAATTACAAAAACAAACGAAGGGTCCATTGTAAACCATTGAGAGGTTTTTTGTACTTAATTTAAGTCTTTGCTATATTTCTATGATAAGTTCATGTCCCATTGTTAGAAGTACAATCATTCTATCAGGCTTTTAATTGGTTCAGCAATCTCTAATTGACAAGCTGATATTTTATGAAGAAAAGGTTTATTTTAAAATAAATTAAGTAGCTACTCTTTTCCAATCTCTGTAGGCCAGCATACATGGATGAGTATGAAAAACTTGAAGAGGAACTCAAAAAAGTATATGAGGTGATTATGTTACTCTTGATTGTTGGCAAGTTTGTTACATTAAAATAACCACTCCTTTTTGTCCCAAACTAAGATTAATATTCACTAAACAAACTGAATTGATAAAGCAATAATTACCCACAAAGAATCCTCTACATTCAGTAGCTTAGTGTTGTTTGATTTGACATCTTTAGTGTAATCTTTGAGCAATGACATCATCCTTGCAAGAATAAGCAGAAGGAAGCCCAAAACAATTCGGGCTTGGACAGGATTATAAACCCTGCATCTCAGATACTAAGTGAATCTACTTAACCAAATGAGCTACAAAGCCAGATGTTGGGAGCCGGCCAAATTTTAGAAGGTTCTTCTTTCTCATAAGGGAATCTGATCACAGTTTTTTAATGAAATAAATTTCATTTCAGACTTTCATGGAAAAGCATCGCAATTTAGCTTACATGGAGCAACTACTGGAAGACATTAACAGGGCTGAGAGAGACAGATTTGAGGTTAAAAAAAGCATATAATTACTGTTGATTTTAAACTGTTGTAGTTTTTTTTCAATTTACTGTTTGATTTAGGCCCATGTAATTCCTCAGCTGTAAAGTTGAGGAGGCAAGCATTTTAATTTGCTTTTGATTGGTCAAACAAACAAATCTTTGTTTAAATCAGAGGAGCATTTGAAAGTTAGTGTAGCCAATTAATCTATTCACTCTGTAGATCTCATTAGTAATTTTCCTTACTGTCTACCATACATTTCTTGCAATGTTAGCTTAGAGAATTCGATATTAGATCAACTAAAAATCCCCCTGTTGATATTTTTCTTTATTGTCATCACTTGTCTGCTTGAGTATAGTATTGATATTGTAAGGAGAAATTCTGTTGTGGTCACTGATGGGAGTTTAAGGCGAAAACAAGGTGATAATTGACTTTTGCTTATTCATGATCCTTTAGATTGCTTAACCAATTAACCAACAGTAGCCCAAAGTTACATGAAGGCAAATCAGAATGTGCCATTAATTTTTCTGTGTTGTTTATTTAATTATCTTCACTTTCTTTTAGGAGTCTGAAGCAACAATCAGAAACATGCAAACTGCAGACCACGGCCAAGGGATTGACGCTGGAGATGAACTGGGAGATTTGGATGGTGGTGATGATGATGATGAAATTGTTGTTGAGGCAAACAATACAAGACAGGCTACCAGACCACAAGGTGAATGACTGTCATCGGTGATGCAAATTTCCCACTATGTGTTTGTGGCTAATTATTAATTGTTATTGTTGACATGAGACAGAAAAAGCTATGAGGGTTATATACTAAGCTCTGAAAATTGCATCTCTATCTAACATCTCGGTCTGAATCATTTCGATAAAACTAAATGAAGTGTTAAACGACGCGTTTGTGGTATTTCTTCGCCTTCATGGCCTCCGGCCAAAAGTTATTTCGCAGAAAGACGCTACAAATGGCCCACAAGGACGGAAAAATATCACAAATGCATAACCCTCATAGATTTTGTTCGTCTCATGTCAACAATTATTAACACGAACACATTTTATAGTATGGTCTTCCTGTGATCATACAACAGATGTCAAGCACGTGACGTGATGTCTCTAAGCGCTGGAAATTTCAACTGATAAGCGCGGGAGAAGGAGAGTTACCTCGTACCCCGCTGAGTAGATTAATTTCTTATTGGTTTAGACAAAGGTTACCATGGCATGCTGCGCAGTGTTATCCCAACCTACTTCATTGAATTTGGGCCTTTCCGCATCCGCGAAAAACTATTTTGTTCAGACAAATTTGCTGTCACCACCAACATTTTAAGAGTGCGAATGGTTTATCACGACTTGACAAATTTAGGCCAAAAAGCGGACAAGCCTTCAAACGCGCCGCCGATAAAGTTTTTCCTGGGTAAACACTGAACAAAAGCGACTGAGTGTACAAAACCATGCTAAACTTATTGATCATGTCTCGTGGAAGCTACAACCAGCGTGTAATTGAACTAAAATCAGTTTACTAGAAAGGAAAAAATGTCTTTCGTTTCAAACCTCGGGGATTCTAAATTGTTGAAAACGAATTAGGGTAAATCCTGGAAATTGGACGTGGAATCCTTTGGCAACTATGCTGGCCGGTCCTAGGAACAGATCAGGCGCTGACGGAATTTGACGGCTTTGAAATTTTGAAAGCGGATGCAACAGACGAAACAAAAATTGGTCATGATAAAATTTTTCCTTTGATTTTGTCGGGACAATTCTAGTTTTGTCCGCTAGTGGGGAAAGGCCCTTACTTACAATGTGTAGTTTACGTCTGGATAATGTTTTTGTTTTGTTGTCTTTTCAGCTGCCGAAGCTGGTGGTCGAGTCTTCGGTTCCATGGGAGGAGGGCTTGATTCTGATGAAGTGAGATCTTTTCGTTGTTGTTGTTTTGCCATGAACTTTCCTTCATAGATTGGTTGTCACATCGAGCCTTCTCCAACTTTCATTTTACGTCGGCTCAGCCTCAGTTGTACATAAATTTTTTTTTATGTCTTTTTCAGGATGAAAGTGGTTCACTTTCTTCAGGAGAGAGCGACATTGGTGTTGATGACGATGAAGACGAACTTCTCGATGATGACGATATGGAAGATGGCCGCGGGGAAGGACGGGACGACGGCTCTCAGGCTAACAGTCTTAATGACAGTGATAATGACTTCTAAACTAACTAAAGAAAGTTTGTATATAGTCTGACGTCAAATAAAGACGTTACGTGAAACCCAAAGTAGTTACCATTTTGCCTTTACCTGTTGCTCAAGAAATTCAAGACGGTGTCACTGGAACGTTACTGATCATTTTTAAGACAGACCTTATACTTATGAAACTTTCAAAACCAGAACTTTGATCGGATGAATCCGAAGGTCTGAGACTAGATTACTTTGGGGACTCATTAAATTTTTCTTGTCACTCGCGGGAGATAGGACGATGATTGAACATATTTTCTCCAAATCAATGCCGAGCTCGAAATTTACCGTCTTACTTAAGCTATTATTTATGCACGAGACCATTTCGACTCGACATTGATGATCTTAACGGTATTTAGGACGTGTTACAGATAAGAACCTAATCTCCTACCCAGATCCTACCGCAAACTTGTGACTGAAATGTAACTGCTTGGCCGAGGAAGGTCTGGGCAAGAAACTGTTATGAACCTTGCCTTGGCCTAACTCTTCTTAGAGACTCAATATGACTCATAGCGCATCGGAGCGCAGACTCTGAAGGTCCGAGGATGGATTTAGAGAAAATAAATGGAAATTAGAAGTTACAGAACCCTCCTTAAGAACAGAGTTAAAGTTTCGCCCTGCGCAATTTGCCTCGATTGGTCTTTCTCGAAACGAACCTCTTATGTCTTCCACTATTTTCTTCATGTGACTGCTTATAGGTAGTTAACCTGGACGTCACAGCGAAGAGAACATATACGTATGTATTAGATTATCCCCACCCCTTACTAGGGTGGGCTAGAAATCACAGCCAATCGTCTTATTTGCTTATTTGCTACCTAACTCTCTGATTTACTCCAACCAAAATGAGTTTGTAATAACACTGGTTTAATGCCAAGTGCTTCACACTCAAAGCATACCCGTACATGGCGTTTGAAAAAGAGCAAATTTTAGTGAGACCCTACTCAGTCCATATAACCAAAGAAGCTCTTGACTTCTAGACAAATTCTTCTTGCCAGAACCTTGGGAAATGTATGGAGAACAGTATGGAAAGTACGCAGACTGATATTAGGGTGCATGGGTGTTAACGGTTAAATGGTTGTCCTCTCTGGAAGCGATCAAGAGCCAGTCTTTGTTAAAAAAAAAATAAATATAATTTTATTACCACACGGTTATTCAAGCATACTTAATAAACAGGTATTAGAAAAGCTAAGTGTCAGTTCAACATGACGCACTAATGTTTGATAACGGAGCATTTACATTTTTTTTTGTACAGTTTCACTGTGGATTTGACTGGTCTCGTTTTTCTTAAGCAGTTAAGTACAATTTCAACCTATTTGAAACCTAGTGGTTTTCTTTTCTTTTCTTTTTTTTTTAATCTAATAATTAACATATGCTAGAAACATGGGAAGAGTCATTGTGACTCAACCTTCCTTGGACCCTTTCACCCTGATGATGGACAGCACTGTATGCTCCCGTTACGAGTCACCACAGGACAAATCAAAACAAAGACGAACAAGTTCATTAAAATCAAAGGCAGTTCAACTTCGGAAGATCGCTCTCACATCTGGTCTGATCTCTCTCTCTCTTCCCCACCTGGTTGGTCAAAGGATAGAAATCTTACCGACAGAAGCGAGAAGTTTGATGTTATACTTTTGATTTGTTTAACTATACACAAAATTTTTTAGGTACCTATCTATTCTTATCCTCTTGCAGTTCTACTTGATGGTTCCCATTTTCTCGTTTTTTCGCAGTAAATCTTGATTCTTCCTCTTTGGATCGTTCAGCACTTAATTCTGGATGGAATCCCTCCTGACCGTTTCCAGTCTTCACTTCATTTTCTCTATCGCTCTCGTGTTTTTCCATCTCTTCTTCTTCCACTTTCTCAACATTCTGCTCACCCTCTGGTTTACAATCTTTAGTATTTTCAGCTTCTCGGTCACTATCGTTGTCACTTTCGAGCAATTTCTTTTCCATCAAATCATTATCAGTGTCGCTTTCCTTTCCTCCAAGCCTCTCTTCATTTCCTTTCACCCTTTTTTCAGCCTCCTGATCACTTTCTAGTAATTCCTCTTCTCTTTGATTCTTCCCTTTCACTTCACTTACTTTAGCCATAGACGTCTTAGCTTTTCTGCAGTCTTGTTCCTCTAAGTCGCTTCCGTTCTCTGCCATATCTTCATCACTTTCACTCGACTTCTCCCAGACATCATCACTCTCGTGTACTTTTTTCCCCTCTTGGTCTTTTCCATCCTCCTCCATATCTTCTTGATCTCCTTCATCACTATCACTTCCTTCCTCATCACTTTCTTCCTGATGCCCAGCTCCATCGGTTCCTCGATCATCTTTTTCTTCATCTGTGGTAGTTTTACCATCGGGGTTGCCAGCCTCAGATGATTCATCCTTATTTTCATTCTCCTTACTTTCAAAGTTATTCCCTGCCTCCTCTTCTTCGCTGCCAGCCTTCTCTCCCCTATTTTTTCCCTTTTTATGCCGTTTATGTTTCTTGTGTTTCTTTTTACTCTTACGTTTTTTACCCGAGGACTCCTCTTTTTTATCCTTATCTTTTTTCTTCCGTTTCTCTTTTCCCTCTTTGCTTTTCTTTCCTATTTCCTTTCCCTCTTTGCTTTTCTTTACTAATTTCTTTTCACCCTGTTTCTTGCTGTCTCTCTCCTTTCCTTTCCCCTCCCTATCACTAACTATTTTCTTGTCCTTATCCTTTTTCTTTAATTTTTCTTTCTCTTTACTCGTTTTACTTTCTTTCGGTTTATCTTTGCCTTTTTCTACCCTCGTAGTCTTGTCCTTCATCTCACCCTTGTCATCTTTCACATTCTGCTTTTTGAGCTTCTTTTTCTCCTCCTCCTTAAAACCACCAATTCCCGCCTTCTGTTCCATTGGCTTTTCATCTTTATGCGAAGTCTTCTGTTTCTTCTGTCCTGTACTTTTCTGTTCCTTTCTTCTCTTTTTATGTCTCTTTTTCTGCTCTTCTGCAGAATTTGCGCCGCCACTCTGACCACGTGACGGAGTAGGCGAAGGAGACCTGGATTCGTCCCAGCCCTCTGGAGTGGGCGCTCGTGCGGGACTTCCAGAGGATCGTGAAAGGGAACGTGACCTCGATCTTGAGCGTGAAAAGGACCGTGACCTTGACCGTGATCGGAGTGATGGCGAGCGCGACCATGAGCGAGTTGGAGTCAAAGAACGAGAACGTAAACGTTGACGGCTTTTCTGAAGTTCTCTGTATTCTAGGAGCTCGTCATCAAAGTCGAAGCTACTGCCTTCCTTCCTAGGAACTTTTTTGGGACGAGTGGTAGACGAATGCTCTCGCTTTTTCTTGCCTCTATGAAAAGAAAGCATGTCCAACATTAGATAAGCAATGTAAAGGCTAAGGATGGAAGTGGCCTAACATGAACGCTACGTTGCCATTGAGCGTGGCCAAACAGGAGTTCTTTTTTACCTCGTTTTTAGTTTCTTTTGCATTTTGTAGAACTCTCGTTCGGACATTGGCGGCGTGAGAGACCCAGGTCGGTCGCCAGGATGGAGTGGGTCGAACATCGCGGGTGGTCCGAAGGCTGGATGGCGTGGCAAAGGAGCCGCAACCAGGGCAGGAACAGGAGGCATACGAGGAAGAGCAGGTGCTGCTGCATGCATCCCTCTGATTGCCGGGGGGAGATAAGGAGGTGGACCGGGGTGGCGTAGACCACTCAAACCCGGACGGATAGCAGGTACACGGGGCACATGTTCCGGGGGAAGTCCGTGGGGTCTAATGGGTTCCGATAACCCGTGACGCATTTCAGGTACACGAGGTGGTCCCCTGCAAGAGGAAATTGTCAAGTATACCGTAAGTAATAAAAGCGGCACTGTTTCCTTCGCACCCGAGGGTTCTCCCTCATCAGGCTAAACAGGTATACTCGTCAAACAGAAGGCGGTTTTCGGATCTAGAATTTCAAACAAGCTGAACAATCTTATGAAGAATGTCTTGAACGAGGTGCCTGTCATGACAAGTGTTGAGCAGGGTGTGGCATTTTAAGTTCCCGAGTCTTCATGTCATCGTTCTCATTACAGTAGACAGGGGTCAATATGCCAAGATCCACATGATATTTACCTTCAACAAGGTGGGGGAAAATAAAAGTTTCTTCCCTAGCAGGGTCAGGGTTATGAGGCCTCGGCCGCCCACCCTCCCCTTAACGATCTTTTGTGTTTCCCATGTTAAAAAGCATATAATCAAAGCATTTATCCTTTTAACAAAAAAATCTCACCCAAGTAGCGGTTCAATGCAGAAAAAAAATTTCTACACTACAGGAAAAAGGCTTGATGTAGTTATCAGTTGTGATAGACAGATATAAACAATACAACATAATTTGATGGTGCAGCTAGTGGCATCGAGGGGTAAGCTTTCTTGGAGCGCAATCATTTTGAACTTGGTTTTAACTTCTAAGCCCAGATTTCAAGCCACTTCGACAACACAACACAACATTCTCCAAAAAAAATTCTAAAATATAATAGAAAAATTTTACGAAGCCAAGAAGAAAGACACAGATATAAAATTATAGGTTTTTCTCCTGAAGGCGTTCAAACTGAACATGTAGTTTACCTTAGGGGAAAATCGCCTGGTCTTCTACGAGGATCAAAAGGAAGCCTGACTTGATTCAAACCAAGACCTGAATCAATCGAAAATGTCGACTTAGTTAGAAGAACCAAGGCATTTGTTTTCTTAGCCCTGCATAACAGTACAACCACTGTTACCAGAGCCACGCGCACATATCTGACCCATCCGATCACAAGGAGCGTGCGATAAATTCCGCCGAATTTCCTTGTCGTGTTCGCTTCCTTTGGTTTTCAGCACTGATTCAAATCATTGATTATTATCGAAATCAGAATTCAATTCCCATTTCATTGGTTAGTTTTATTTAAGTGACTATAGTAGCAGTGGTGTGGTATTCGTTTCTTTGCTTGAAACCGCCTGCTATATTCAGTATAGCAACTAATATAAGCTTTCAAATGAAGCTGTACAATGCAACGAAACGCTAGATGGCCCAATGAATAACAATACTACTGTCCTACTAAATGT